GGGGGGGGGGGCGCCCCGCGGGGGGGGGGGGGGGGTGTGTGGGGGGGGGGGGGGGGGGGAAGCCGTCTGGATGAAAAAAAAAAAAAAACATGAACACTGTATGCGCTGGGTTTTTACCTTAGAATGGCCAACTCTCTGTTATAACTATGTCAATTTGATACAGTAGAGGCTTCCACACCTCCCATATTTGTGTCCTCTGTCACTTATCAGCAGTTAAAACTGTTTAATCCGTTGTTAACATGTTGTAACCTGTTTTTCCGAGCCGCCTTTAAACGCAACATGAGCGCTACGACGCTCGCGCTGGGTTTACACCTGTGAAGGAGACCTGCTGCTGCTGTGCGGAGCTACGTAGGTTTGTGTTAGAATCACGGCAGCAAACCAGCAAAACACAAAGAACTTTTCACAGTTTTTCCCTCCAAACTAACCGACTGAGTTGAGTAAAGCTGTTGGATGCAGATAATGTTAACTAAAAGATGACTAGCTAATATCAATACAGAACCTTTAGCTTAACAAGTACCTTGTAGTAGGCTACCGATGTTGGTGTCTATTTTCAGCTACGTACATTCATTTTGCCCCCAAAGTCGATGCCCCCCCCGTGACACACGCGTCGTTTCAACCAGACAGCCATTTGTAATCCATAGGGGGGGCGCAGAAAAAGTTTGGAAACCACTGGGGGGGCGCAGAAAAAAAAGTTTGGGAACCACTGGCTTAGATACAGTTTTTTGCATTTTGTTTTATATTTAAAACACTATCCATGCAGTTTTTACAGAAAATAATAGGTCTAGCTGGTTGGAGTGACTTCTACTGCCCTCTGTTCTCACATTTGATGTGTATTTTCAGCTAAAGCCAAGAGGTACGAGAGGTTAAGAGGCATTGGGATTAAAGAAAAGGGTCTAAAAAGGACGACAATAACATATTTTCCCGATAAGCACAATTATAAATAAATGGAAGACATAAACTAGTTTATTTTTCTTGAGAATATAACACAGTGTGTCATCTTGTTCAAAGAAAATCTGTCTTAAATTGTATCTTTGGTAGCTTTGTTAGAACCACCTTATGTCAAAAGCACAAGTTGTTGTTTTTTTTGCAGCTAACAGACACACATAAAAAATTTATCTGATCTAATGAGTAGCTTTTAAAGCAACTTTTAGAAGAAAACCTGCTTTTTGCTTTTTTCACCGAGGTTTTCATCATTCCTTAGGTCTTACTGAGAAAACTGGATTAAAAGAAGGACTAACAAGCCTCAGGCCTTAAAACTATCCCAACAACACTTCATGTTGAAAAGAAAATGGAAAAAAAAAATACATCTTGCAAAAAGATGACAGCACATCAGAGGTGAATCATTCTTCAGTCTATCAACTTTGTGCTGGAAAAAACATAGGTTTGAAAAGCCTTCAGAAAGTCTAAAAAAGTCCTGCACAGGTCACTTTAAAAGATTAAAAGAAGGTCTGGCTCCTTTGGGGGAAAATCATCTTGTAGTGGCTGAAGGCTTTTACGCAGTAAGAAGTGTACACACATAACGAGCACAAGCTGCTTTGGGACAGAAGAGCTCACCTTTTATCAGATTGAGGCAGGGCTTTTTTGTCACTGCTGTGGTCCTGCTGTAGCTGACATCTGTAGAGAAATAAAAAAAAATACACGTCAATAAATTGAACCAAATGACCTGGATTTTACCTGGTAATCCATTGAAAATTCACCCGTTTACATGTTTGATCATGCTTCTTTTAGTCAACATCAACTTCTAACGCTGGAACAAACTTCTTACTTTGTTCCAGGCTGATATGTGGAACCGATTTCCCTCACGTTTTAGCAGCATGAAAGCTGAATATATCAACTCAGACATGAAGCCTGAAGAGTATTCCCTCTCCTGACACCTTCTACGTAAATTTGATAAAAAGCAAGTCAGGTGCTCCAACAGTATATTGAGGTACTATTTAGTTAATCTTTCACGGTGTGTTTCTGTTTTCACTTCTCATGGATTAAGCATTCAAGTCATGAAGCAGTATAAAATGCATTTTACAGATCTGTGTCTCTCAAGGCAAGGTAAGTTAAATGTTTTATCTGGCACATACATTTCAGAAACAAATGCAATTCAATATTGGTTTCATAGCAGGAAGAAAGAAAGCAGGAAATTATGTTTATGACAGCAAACATAAATATTATCACACAAAAAGCAATTTAAAGTAAATTTCATGAGATGGAGAAAATAAATAAAAAAAATGCTTGACTTTTAAAGACAATAAATTAAGGGAAAGGACTTGAAAGATTTTTATTTAAGCCAAACTGTATTTTAACTTTTTATTTAAACATGGTGGCACTTCTAATTTTCTTTCTTCCTTTTTATTTTTGATATACTGAATTTAGTAAGCACTTTGGTCACCAATATTGTGGCTGTGTTAATAATATAGTTACCTGATCAATGGCTAATCTTTCTTAGTGATAATCTGCGGACTATAATCTGAGTAAATGCACATATATATATATATATATATATATATATATATATATATATATATATAGATGAAACTAGGGTTGTTAATTGACATTTTCTATGAACGAGGGGGTGTTGGTGTCCTGTTCCTACCTGTACCCCCCACCGGGTCATCGGCCAGGGTCCCCTCAGACACCACCGAGCCGCAGTCCACGCACACCAGCTGGGCTTGGCAGTAGAGATCATCGTCCACTATGTTGGAGGAGCCGCAGCCGGGACACTTCAAACCCGCTGCGAACATTTTCCAATCATAAACATCCACTTGTTTAACCTGGACTACACTTTATGACAACAACAGGAAGCGCGCTAGCAGTGTACTATCAACAAACGTAATCGGTGGGAAGCTTAGATGTCTCCGGGTAGAAATAACCGAACTAACAACAGTTCCGTTTGTGAAATTACACTTGAAGGGGCGTTCAAGGATAATCCGATTGTGCTTCAGTAAGCATATTATGCAACCTTAGTTTTCCCTCTGCAATAATAAACAATGAAATGTGGTAGCAAGAAACGCTGCAATAACAAAAGACCTAAGCTGTAGAATATTAAAAATATAAGACTGAGGTAAAAAGTTAGCATTCTGAATTCATTACATAAATACGAGCTGCGCTCCAAATTAATTGTAATTAGCATTGTCGCCACATTAAGAGGTGATTTAGAAAATACATAGACAACCTTATGTTAATATTCAATTTTACGTATGCCAATTTCTATTTTCCATTGATGTTCTGCGGATTACTGTAATAAAATACTTCTAAGGGCACATTTGTTTTTCTTCTTTAGCTAAACTATCAAACCAAGATTATTTTTTTAATAAAAAAGTACAAGCTTCTTTTAGACTTTAAACCTGTGTTTAATCACGGAGGTTTCCCAACTATTTTTTTTTTCTTTTTGCAAAAAAGGGGACAAATTGTATTTAAAACCATTTCACAAATGTCCACTGTAATTTGTGACATGCAGCCAGAAGATGATTGAACATGATTTATTAAATGCAATATAACCACTGTACATGTAATGTAAATGAGTTGTTCAAGTCCGGTACATATTGGTATATTCTGTGTTGTTTTCCGTATTCATGCCATTTCATAACACTAACATACTACTGAATGAATGAAACAAGAAATAGATTTATACATTTTTAATTTTATTTTGCAAATATACAAAAACAGCTCACCCAGTTCCAAAGACGGTGTATATTTTTCAGTGTTTAACATTCAAAGATAAAGTGCTCTTGGTTTGCAGAATACAAAGAAAAAAAGAAAATATAATTACAGCACATAAGGCTCTTTTGGACCAGGCAGGGGAAAAATGTTTTCATTTAACCAGGCAGTATAGCAAGTCTTTTAAGCTTGAACTTTAAGCAATGAACATATATGAATGCCCTTTTACACTTGACTGAAAGACAGAATTTTCTTGTATAAAAAAAAAAAAATATTTAATTGAAACTGCTACAGTCATCACAGTAATATTTCATCTCTTCTCTTTGATTTCTCTTGATATATTAACCTTAAGGTTTATCCTACTACAAAAGAGCCAGTATTCAGTGATGAACACATCGTGGGAAGCCAGGTTTCTCATGTAGTCGTGAAATGAATAAAGTCAGACCTCAGGGATCTGATCTGATTCAGAGTGTCAGCTATAAATCCACTTAGGCAGGCTTCTTTAAAGAGCTCATGGACATGAGGATACTTGGACTCTCTTCAATGACTCGCACCAGTAAGTTGTCAATGTACTGCTCCAGCTCTGATATCTTTTTATCTCTCTCAGAGAGCTGGCTCTCCTGTTTCAACAACAGAGCGATCAGTTCCTCTCGAGTCAGCTGGGAGTACGGCCCTGATCTCCCTGTGCCAACCTGTGGGAGGGACGTGAAGTAAAGAGACAACAATAATCTTTGATCATGAAAACCAAAGGAAACATCACAGCAATCTCTAGCTTTGCATTAAACATTTAGCTAAAATTGAAAAATAAAAATAGAATACCTACATTTGTTTTGTGCTGAACTCCATTACAGTCTAATCCTGTGGCATTGTTATCATTTCCAACTTTACCAACTGAGTCAGACTGCTGCTCCAGAGGATTAAGGGGTTTTACAGGCTGAAGTCTGCAATGACAAAAGGGTTGAGAATGAAACATGTAAAGAGAATGGCAAGATGAAGCAAAATATAGTAAAAGCAAGGGAATTTGAATGTATAATTTGTTTAAAAAGAAAAAAAAATCACAAATTTCAATGAAAGCTAGCCGTTTGATAAAAAAAAAGTAATTGAAACCCTTTTTTGCATGTTATTTGTAGGAACGCTCAAACTCCCTCAGATTGCGTCGCATCTAAATGATTCCTAAATCTTTCAAGCATATTCTTAATTAAAGATCTGGACATTGCACCGTTCTAACATATGGAGAGGTCATGGTTCTGCTGGAAGGTAAAACACCGCCTCACTCAAGTCTTTGTGTTGCCTCCCACAAATTTTCATACACTTCATTTTTTAATGGTTAATTGATCAATGCTCCCTGAGATGCGCAAAGCTTACAATACTGTTTAACATCCCAATCATGCTTTAAACCTCTCCACAGCTTTATCTCTAACCCTGTCCTGTCTGCTGTAATCCTTGTTGTTTATATGATGCAGTTTGTTTGCTAATGTTACTTTCTCAGAGGCTCTACTTCAAAATGCTGCAATTCTTAGTGTTCGTCTATCACATAAAATCCCAATGATGGTTCCAATGTGACAAAATGTGAACAATGATATTCTGCATGGTACTGCAGACATACCAAAGATTAAATTAGACAAACTAATGCTGAGGACTAAAACGTCTTACCTGCGTGAAATTACCGGAGGCCCCTCCTCTCTTGCACCAGCCGTGGTCACAACCTTCTTGGACTCTTTGTTTGGACTCTCTTGGACCTGTACGTGACTTTTGACCTCTTGTTGTGTGTTGCATGCCTTGTTTGGAGCAGTCGCTCCACTGTCATCTAAAACATCAGTTTCGTCATGGTTTCGACTGACGGTGGAGCTTGAAGGAGTGTCATTTGGATCAGGAGGTAGGGGAGCTCGAGCTACTTTTGAGGATTTGACTTTAGCAGAATCTTTGTCAGCAGCTTGAGGCCAAACTACTGGATCAGTTTTAACAAAGGTTGTTGCATCCTTACGAACCGTGAGCTCATTTTCCTCCTCCTCATCGTCCTCAAACGGGTTTAAACCACAAACGGCGCCGTCTTTAATCTCCGCCGCAGCTCTGTGAAGCTCATCTTCTGCAGCGCACGGTATGGATGGAGCAGGACGTTTATTGTGTTTGCCTGTCGCTTCTTTGGCAGAATCATGCTCCGTCATGCTCTGGGTGTTTCTCAAATCTTTGGAAGATCTGTTTGGAGGAGCGATCATCTGCACCGAGCGCTGGGGAGCAACGCTGACAGTTTTGACATCTTTGTCTTTATTCTGCTTGTTAATTTGTGGCAGATGTGTCGCCGTCTCCTCCTCCTTCTGTTTCTGTCTCTCCTGCTGATTCCTTCCCGGAGGCTTAGGAGCCGCTCTTTTTTCCCGCTGAATGTTAGTTGGGTCCTTTTCGCTGGTGGAAGCTGCCCCGCTTTCCGCTGAGGACTGACATCTGAAAATGACAGACACACAAGGTGTGGGCAAAAGTCGGCTGTCAATTAATCAGACTTTCCACAGTGAAGCAAAAATACTGAGTCAAGAAAACGCATTCGAACACAAATGTTTCCAATCTTATTCAGTGTCATCTTTAACAGACTGCAAACAGTCTGTGTTTTTTTAGAGTTTAATACACATGGACATTATTTAAATTAGTCATCCAATTCAGCTGCACATCTTTGGATTAAACCACAAACGGTGTACAAGAAAGAAATGTTTCATGATATTTCTAGTCTGACCACTGTATAGTATTTTATTGTGGCTATTAATTTTGTTTATCTTGTTTTTATATATTTTTTTAACACTTCTGGAACTCTAAATGTGAACTTGTATATCTAATATTGCTGCTACCCCTAAATTTCCACTCTTTAGGGTAATAAAGGCCATTTCTATTTGATTCTTCTTTCCGCTAAATAGACTCTCAAAAACATTTAGATCCCTTGACCATCTCACGCACAGTCCAACGTCGATTATCAATATTTCATGTGATAAGCAAACACAAAGTAGCGATGGAGATCAAATGGAAGGAAAATAATGATCTGGCTTTTATGGAAGAGTAGCAAGAAGAACAACATCGCTCAAAGACTGTCATAAGAAGTCCTATTGAAAGTTTCCAACGTAGCAAATATGGCAAGCATCGGAAAATTACGCTATGAAACCATTACATCTTTCCTGTAGTGAATCAAAAAGGGAATGATTTTGTTTAGCACAGACAGAGAAGATGTTCAGAGTTGATGAGAGGATGATTGAAAGAAAAGCACAGGGCAATCCTGGAAGAAAATCTTAGCATAGCAGCCAGAAAAGACACAGACTCACCCACCCTAGAAATATATCTAGAGCTAAAGTAAGAGTTTAGATTGAAGTGTTTTCATGTGTTGGAATGGCCTAGTCAAAGTTAAGACCTAAATCCCATTTAGAATGTGAGATTTGAAAACTAACGTTTACAGATGCTTTCTATCCAATAAGAGTTTCAGCTGCTAAAAAAAAAAAAAAAAGATTAATCTGTTGATTGACAAAGCAATCAGATTAAATTGTAGTTAAATATTGGCTTGGATAGGTGTCAATGCAAATGCCAACTAAACTTTGGAGGTCTTGAGCTTTTTAAAAATTTCCTTCCACTTCACTTAAACCAACAAAAAATAAAATGCATATTTCACAATATCCCAAATAGGCACAGATATTTGTCACTGCAACGTGATGAAATGTTAAAACTCTCAAGAAGGACAAATACTCTAGCAGTGAACTGTAAACAGCTTCTTCACACAATACTTGATACAATGAGGCAACACTATGAAATGCTCTTCGTCCTTCAGCCCAGGCTGCTCTCTCCTTCAAACCAACACATGAGCTCAAAGCCATGCAATTTTTATGCAGGCATCAGCTGCCTGTGGCATTTAGAAGAGAAGTGTTGAGACGATCGGTCACAGAGCTCCAACAGACTGAGAAACAGGACATGGGAAACGTTCAGATGAACATTGTCATCAAGTATTCACTGCCTCTTTTATTGTTCTGCTGATGCTAAGGCAGGCTAATGTCAGCTACGTCTTAATCCATCAACCACAATGTAAACATTTAAATAATTAATACTTACTCCAATACATTTAAAACTACTTTTATCAATCGATTTTAAGTTTTGTTCACCGTTTCCAAATATTTAATCCTACTGTCCTTTAAAATCAATCTTTCAAATTTACATTGGTTGATGCAAATTCCTGAAATGTATTTTAAATATGTCCTTTAACCCTTTCAAGTAAGCTGGCCTCTCTTCCTGCTGTCCCATGATCCTACACAAGTTTTCCCCTTAAATTGAGTCCAATCCTTAGTGTTTACATTACAATCTTAATCAAAACTTCACTGTAAAGTTACAGCAAATATGTAATCTGCAAAAGCAAGAGGGCTGCAAAAAGGAGGAGGTGAATGAGAAGCGTGTAAGGACATCTGGATGTAGTGTTAGAAGAACACAAGACAGAAAAGAAGACGGACACAGACAGGGAAAGGAGGACACATTTCAGACAATGAGAGAGAACTATAGTCTAGAAATCCTCTTATTCTGCTTTCTATGAGTTCCCACATCCGGAAAAAGGTGAAATCAAGCTCTATAAATTTCACGACTGAGCAGGAATCCTAGTTGCCAAACTGGCATTTCTGTATACAAATTATTTTGTGTCGGCATTGATGTCGCTCAAAAACGAAACACAAATAAAAAGCGATGATTTTCCCTTCGCTGAATTAAATTTAGGAGTCCAGTGGGGGGGATTAGATAGCAACTAGTGTGAGCCGCTGTGTGTGGAGTTTGCATGTTGTTGCCCAACATCCATAAAACAACATATTGGACTAATTGGTCACAGCGTCCCGCCTCACCGACCGCTGGAGACAGAATTCTCTTTTGAATTTAAGCATGCTTTTACATTTCTGTTTTTAGTGGTGCATCGTAATATTATTCTAATTTTAAACGTCATTTTTATTAACTTTAAGTGGAAAATTACTACAACAGAAATAAACCCTTTCAGATGTAAGTGTAAATCTATGTATATTTTTCACAGTGATAACTTTTCTGAAATAAATTGACTTTTCAATAATATTCCAATTTATTGAATTGGTCTGTGCTTTGATCCATTTACTTCAGCTTGGGATGCACATATTTTGACAGACTGAATGAATTACAGATTATTTAGTTTTTCTGGTTCAGGAAACTTTAAATCCAGTTACTGTCACACGCCGCTTGCTGCAATAAATCCAGTCATCCTGCATTTTTGTTTGTTGTTCTCAAGACTTTCAAGAACAAGGACTCAAAAGTTGCTGATAGCTCGAAGAAAATATATCCCAGACGTCCGCCAGGAGCGGAAAGGTTACATGTAGACTGATACAGTTTCAATTTTGTATGTGGAATCCTTGCGAGCAAAATTTATGAGCAAGACATGCTGACAAAGTCAAGATGGAGGTGAAGGTGGAGCGCTTCTCTGACGTGTGGATGCAGGAACATGTTCCTGAATTCAACATCTCTCCAGGAAAAGAAGTGAGAGTAAAAATACGATTGACTGCTGTGGCTCAGTTGGCAGATATTACGGTGGAGAAAGGCCTAAAGCGGACCAGTGAATACAAGCTGCAAGTTTTCATTTGTCATCCACACAGCAGGTTATTTTTGTAGCTGTGGATGTTACCCAAACTTCATCCTGCTGCAAGCGAAGTCATCATTTACAGACGCTTAACAGGACAAGAGCAAAACAATTAGAACCATTGTTTTGTTTCCTTCGCGGAGGATCCCATGAAATATTTTCCCTCTGAGGATTATTAAAGTAGAAAATGATAAACTGCTGAGCCTTTCCTAGAAATGGTTCACTCTGCAAATTTAAACAGAATACTGCTAAATCGCATCCTTCATATTGATGCCATATGCAGAATTGATTATTCTTAAAGGAATAAGTAAAAGGGAAACATCCACATACAATGGATGAGGTGAGGGACATATTTTTAAAGATTTAAGGTGAGAAAAGATTTGTCATTTGACCTGATTTTGCTGAATCATCAGTGAAAGTTGAATATTGATCCACCAACCTTTGATCATCAGGTTTTGCTTTAGACGATTTGGGAGTTTCCTCAGGTGGAGTGAAGTTTTCATCAAAAGGATTAGTGGAAGTGATTTCTACAGGAAGTCTCAGTTTGATTTTTGTTCCAACACCTTTCTCTTCTTCTTTTATTTTGTTTTCCTTCTTTTCTTTTGCCAACTTCTCCTGCTTCCTCATTTCCTCCTCCCTTCTTTCCTTGTTATTCCTCTCCTCCTTCCTTATTCTCTCCTCTTCAAGTCTCATTTTCTCCAGTTCCTCTTCTCTTTGTTTCTCTGCTTTTATTCTCTCTTCTTCTGCTCTTTTTCTTTTTTCCT